AGCCGCCTGCAGGGGAAGGAGTACACGGAGATAAGATGTGATAAGAGACAAGGTTTTTTTTTCTGTGTCCTCTTGCTGGTCCAAAGATCTGAGCTCCGTGTGCACACTGACTCTCACAGCAGTGCCTCAGGCTCTCTGGATCACAGCGAAAGGAAGGAGCCTCGCTGGCCCGGGCCCTGCGGGCCTGGGATGTGCAGTGAGCAGGGCCCTGCTCCATGTCTGTGGGGCTGTGCTCTGTGTTGTCCTCTGCCCCTCGTTCTACTGAGAACTCCTGAAGTCCGGCCCTCGTTCTGACGGGAGCAGGCCCAGTGACAGCTGGTGGCCTTGGTGGACTCGACGCAGCAGTGGGTAATACTGAAGCACATCCCGACGCTGTTGGGTGGGCCCCTGTGGGTCGGGGATTATCTTTAACGCGCCAGACAAGCTCGTTAACCTGCTTCTTACCGGCTTCTTACCGGCGTTTTCTATTACCTCGGTGGGTGGACGGCTGGAGGATTAGCCTGGCTCTGACAGACCCGCAGGCCTGGCCAACCCTGTTTGGAAAGGAGTCAAATCTGTTCATTGCTGATAGTAGACAGCATGCTAACACCCCAGCTCAGCTGGCAAGGCATGTGTACCTCGACTTTTATTTTTTCTTTTAGCAATAGGAGTCAAATTTGGATTTATCCTGATAAGGGAGATATCTGGACCTCACGTGGTCTAGTTGCCCCAAGCTGCTCTTTAATCCCTGTGTGCCGGCTCTCCACACCCTGTCCGCGTGGCAGAGATGACGAGGCCCAGGACTGAGGCCGCCCAGCTAGCTGATGGGGCCCTGGCCCTGCTCGCACACCCCTCGAGGGCTCTCAGCCATGCTTCTGCTTGTCTTAAAGAACAAAACATTTCCTAGACTTGTTGCTGTGGTCAAGTGAAGGCCGCACCATTTCTCTCCTTCCTGTATTCCCACCAAAGATGGGACACGCAAGGAGTGCTGAAAAAGGTTTGTTTTCTTGCAAAAACACCGAATCTGTTTTTCGTATTTATTTATCTGTGTGGGGTGGGAGTGGGGGTGTTTTGCCTGCGTGTTTGTCTGTGCCCCACGTGTGTGCAGTGCCCACACAGGCCAGAAGGGGGCCTGAGATCCTCTTGAACCAGGTTTAGAGATGGCTGCTTGTGGCTATGTGGGTGCTGGGACATGAATCCAGGCCCTCTGCTGGTGCTAGGGACCACCGAGCCACCTCTCCAGCTTTAGTTTTCCCTTGAAAAACATCCTGCTTAGTACTGCGTAGGTAATGGAAGATGTTTGTCACAGACAAGCTGAGACCGGCAGAGCTGGGAGTGGGGTGTGAGGAGACACCAATACCAGCAGGAAACGGCTGTGCTCTGAGCCCGGCCTCTTTCAGCTCACGGATTTTCCTCCCGGTGTGCATGCTTCTCTAGGTGGCTGCAGACCTCTAGGCAGATGGACAGGCGATAGAAGAGCACACACACACACACACATACACACACACACACGATGAATCACTGCTCCTTCATACACTGTAGTTCTCCAGACATTGGCATGCTCGACAGGTCCTCCACCACCAAGTTACATTTTCAGCCCTATTTTATTTTGCTTTGAGACAGAGGCTTGGTAAGTTGCCAGGCTAGCCTCGAACTTGCTCTGTAGCTGAGGCTGTCCTTGAGGTGCCGGTCACCCTCCATCAGCACCACAAGTAGCTGGGACTGTGGGAACGCGCCACCATTTCTGTTCCTACAGTAGGACTGTCACTGGCCAGGAGCAGTGGCACATACGTCCCTCTGATCCCAGGCCCCAGAAGTAGAGGCAGGCAGGGCTCCGCAGTTTTACATTTGTGCTTGGACGCAGTAGACTCTATTCTTATGAGCTCTTCTGTCATTTCATGCAAAGGTTGTCCTGGACCCCACTCTGTGCCAGGCTGGCCTTGAACTCAGAGACAGCCTGCCCCTGCCTCCTGAGTGCTGGGATTGAAGGTGTCACCACAGTGCTCGGCCCCTCTGAAATTTCTTTTTGTGTTTGAGGAGATAGGGTATTATGTAGCTGGGCTGGCCTCACGCTCCTGACGTGGCGAGGATAATCTTGAAATCTTTTAACCCTTTTTCATTTGTCTTCATTCCGCGCACAGGTGCGTCATGTAAGTGCATTGCTCGCTCATGCCCACATTGTCAGAGGAGGCAGCAGGCCCGAAGCTGGAGTTACAGATGGCTGGGAGCTAGCACGTGGGCGCTGGGAACTGGACTGTCTTGTGAGAGGGCAGCAAGCACTCTTAATGCCCGGGTTCTCTCTCTAGCCCCATCTTGGGCTCTCGCCCGTCTTGCCCCGCCCCTTAAGTGCTGGGATTACAGGCATGTGTGTGTGTCTACTGTATGCACTAGGCGTGAAGCCCAGGGCCTCGTGCAGGCCTGGCAAACATTTTACCCACTGAGCTACATGCACTCCCCTTCACGTGCCTTGGAGTCAGTGTGTGGGAGCCATGCCTTGGCAGAGGAACGCTGAGGTTTTGTTTTCGCTGTGTGCCTCAGGGGCCCTTTGCTTCTGCAATCCATTACAGCAAACTGAGAGGCTCACCTTCAGACAAGGGAACGATTATTACTGTTCCAGAGGCCGGAAGTTATTCTAGGTGTTAGCGGGATGTGGGCGGAAGAAGCCCGTGACTTCCGGGTCACGTGGCCTTGGCGGTACCTCCCAGCGCTTCCAAGTGTCGTATGTGCACCGTGATTTGCTCACCTGCTTCCTTCCTGGATGGATTCTTGTGGTGACATCGGGTCCCCTTCCCGTCTCCAAACCCTCCTCACGCCTGCTGAGCCACAGACATGTTCACAGGCACTCTCTGTTAGGGTGCAGACATCTTTGGAGGCCAGAACTCGCCCGGCCACACCTGGAGATCCAGAAACTGAGCCTGGGGCGGCAGCTCAATAGAGTGCTCGCCCAGCATGTCGGGGGTCCACCCCTAGCCGTTCATAAAACCATGGCCATAGCCCCAACACTTGCGAATGTGCAGGAAGGAACATCAAGAGTTCAGCTTTAACTACATAGTAAGCAGGCGGCCAGCCTGGGCTAAATGAGGCCATGTCTCAAAACCCCAAATAAATAAATAAATTATGTAGATAGGTAAGTGCTGGAAGGGACAAAGCGGAGACCACGGCCTTCCCAGTCCACGGGCGCTGTTGTGTGCCTTCTGTGCCGATGGGTATTTTAAAGGTTATGGAGTCTAACTTCCTCCGCTTAAGGAGAGGGAGCTGAGGCTGGCAGGCTGGAGCAGCGACCATTAGTTATTCTGCATTTGGCCTAAATCTGAGAGTCTCTTCCTCTCTCCCCAAGGAGCCAGACGCAGCCATCACCCTTATCAAAGGCAGCGCGGCCCGGGAGGGCGAGGGAGGGTTTTATATCTTAGCAGCAGGAGGCAGCGATGATCTCAGAGCCAAGTTCTATCTGTGCCACTGCTTGAAAACCATTTCACAGAACTTCTAATAGGCCTCTGTCTAAGTGCGCCATTCTGAAGTCTGAAAACGGTGACACCGGCCCGCTCAGCCTTTGAGACTCAACTTTGGTGAGAAAACCTCCATCCGGTCAGACAGCAAAGGAAGTAAAGAATGGACTGTGATAAAGAGCCTCTGGCTGCGTTTTCCTAATTGGCCCGCTCTTTCCCACTGGAAAGTTATTTAAATGTTAGAGCAAACAGTGAGGCTGAGAAGACATCTCAGCTGTCTTGTCCCAGAAGGTGTTTGTGGCACCAACACAAAGCGAGGACAGAGGAAGTTAATTGAGTTTTCCCCATCATTTCAGGGCCATGAGGTGGAAATAGAACTCACGTCTATCTAGGATATCTGTGTTTGTGAGCTACGCTTTCAGCAGTCCAGCCAGCGTGTAGCTCGGGGACAGTGCCCGCCTGGCTCGGAGGGCGCCCGAGCTCTCCTCCGAGCACATTATTGAAAAGGTGTTTGGCCTGTTTGGCCAGGTGAGTCTCAGATCCTGAAGCGCTCTCTAGCCTGCTCTCCTTTGCCCTGAAGACTCCCCGCCCCCAACCGCCCTCTTCCCAAGCTGTGCCCAACCCTCTGCCCTCTCAGGCACAAAAACTGCAATTATCCTCTCATATGCGTGTAGCCAAAGCTTTACGTGACTCAGGAGACTTGAGAAGTCAAAACTCAGAGGCCCCGGCCCCCGAGCGGTGTTTTTATTTTGGACGGCCATGGGGAAGTGTGACAGGAGAAAGAATGATCTAGCGTGCGGAGGCGAGGTCTGCCTGCTCAGACTCTTAGCACAAAATATTGATGTGGAATTAGAGATGGGATGAGTGTGCCGGACACCACTGCTGCCTCAGGCTCCACTTTGACCTTCAGGGGCCCAGGCTGGGGCCTCAGCGGAGGCTGGAGAGTGGAGTGGTCCTTAGTGGGTGCAGGCATGGGGGCCGGGCGCTGTGGGGGCGCCCGGCCTGCCCTGTCGGGACCACAGAGAGCGCAGAAACGCAGTCCAGCACGCGTTCCACATCCATGCTCCCACTCTGCCTGCCCACAGCTTTTCGACACTTTCAGGGCGAATGGAGGGCAGTGACAACGAAAACAAGGGCAGAGCTGGGCCCAGAGACGCTGGGTGGGCACGGCGGCGTCAGGGAAGGCCGGAGCTCCAGAGGGCAGGGTGCAGCGCCTGCCTGGGCCCGGCCTGCACCACTCCAGCTCGCGGGCGCGCCGACAAGCAAACCACAGGCCCCTCGGAAATCGGAATCAGCTCTGCCAGAGAAAACCCAAGTTTCCCCAACTCGCTCAGGAGCGCGGCGAGGGTCAGGCTGGGTCACCGCGGCCTCCGCGCGGGGACAGCGTGGAGAGAAGAGCCGCGGGGCTCTCCAGAGGAACCGGAGCACTTCGGGAGCAGGGGAGGGGCGTGGTTGGCGGGCCGGGGCGGGGCCGGCGGGGTGGGCGGGGCCGGGGCTAGGGGGCCGGGCTAAGGAGGGCGGGCGTGGCCAAGCCCGGCTAGGGCGGGGCGGAGGCGGGGCGGAGGCGGGGCGGAGGCGGGCCACCTCGGGAAGATGGCGCAGAGTGTGCTGCGGAGCGCGGTGCGCGGAGCGGCGGCGCTGCCCAGGCTGTGAGTTCAGTCCCCAGTACCCGCCGCGGGGGAAGGCGGTGGCCGGAGTGGCCCCGGGAGCCTCTGGGCACTCTAGCCTGCAGCTTCTGTGCCTCCCGCCCTTGACTTCTGCCAAGGTCGCAGCGGCTGCTGCCTCCCAGTGGGAGGGCTTTGCGTGGACCTGGCACTGGGTATACATGTTGCTGGGTTGGCAGGGCTGTCAGCGCAACACATCCGGTTCCTGTATGACAGCGGTTCCCGCATGTTTAGTCTCTGGACCTGCTTACCATCTAAGGATACTGAGGGTCTCAAAGAGCTTTTGCCTAAATCTGTTCTTGAAAAAACATTGAATTTTTGTAGGTGAAAAAACCATAATTTTATATATTCTGAAATTTTCTTTGGCTTAACAAGAGGTGACAAGTCTAATGTCAGCTTTGCAGTAAATATTTGGAATTCCAGCTCTTGGGAAGTAGAGGCAGGAGGACGTGGGTTCAAGGCTATGTTTGTCTACAGAGCAAATTTGAGGCCAGCCTGGTCTACACAGCAATACTAGTTGGTGAAAGATGGACGGACTGTCACAGAGCTCGCATGTCCTGTGGTACCCGTAATACCATTTGAAGAAGTAGTGTGTCCTGTTTGCTGTGAGGATCAGAGTCTAAGTGACCATCTCAAAATCCCAGGCAGGGAGTGAGGGCTGGAGAGACAGCTCAGCAGTGTCTTCTAAAGATCCTGAGTTCAATTCCCAGCAGCACATGGTGATTCACAACCAACTATGTCTATATCTGGACCCGATGCCCTCTTCTGGCGTGCAGGTGTACATGCAGGTAGAGCAAAATAAAGAAATAAATCTCAAAAACAAAAAACAAACAAAAACCCCTAGAGTAGTGAAGCCAAGGTTCATGATCTAGTAATTTTCACATCTCTTGTGCTCATGGTTCCTTCCGACTCATGGCAGGACCCACGTGGCTTTAGGCTCCCCACTTTCTCCATCACCTGCGGCCTTGCACCCTGCTCAAGAAATGACCCCGGAACCAGAGTGGCAGCTAAGGGAGTGTCCCAGGCCTGCCTGAAGTTCCTTTTCCCAAGTGTGAAAAGGCTGGTCTCTACGGCGTGCTCACCCCACAGTCATGGCTTCTATCTGTGACCACTGTTCCCTCCCTTCGTGTCACACTCACGTCTCTACCAGGCTGCAGCTTCACCGAGCCGGTGGTGTCACGTTAGCGCAGCCCGCTGGCGTGAGCAAGTGCACCCTGCTGGGCTGCCCTAGTTCCTCTGTCTGTTGGACTGAAGTTCAGCGTTGGGCCGGGGAGCTATGTCCAGTGGCTCCTTCCTTGTTCCTAGTGTCTGAACCATGGCTGGGCAGGCAGGGCCATGCTAGCCCTTCAGGCTTGACCCTGGTCCCAGTCCTGCAGTGTTTGCCTGAGGGCTGGACTGTTTTCTCAACCGTCTGCGGCCATGCTGCAGTCATAAAAACGGCCCCACATTCAGGAGCGAACACAACTCACCTGAAAGGCCGAGGATATAGACGGGAGTGTGAACGCCCCGCCCCACATCTGTCAGAGCGGTTAGAGCGTGAGCACCCCATGTCTGTGAGATCGGTTAGAGCATGAGCACCCTAGGTCTGTCAGAGCCGTTACAGAGCCATCTGGAGCCGTTTATCAAGCGACCCACGAGTTCTTCCGATGTCGCCTGCTCTCGTCCGTCACTGCAGGGACGTGCTAGCCCCTTCCCAGGCTTGCCTGTGGGTCACACTCCAGCAGGAAGGAGCCTGCTCCCGCTGTCCGCGTCCCAGCACGCGCACGCTGCAGCGGCGGCTCAGCTCAGCGTGTTGGGGAGGGGGCCATCCCACGCATGTTTCCTGCACCCTCGTTCCTAGAATGATCTGCTCAGCGCCCTTTTCTCCCCTCCAAGCCCTTCTGTGCATCTGTGGCAGCTGCCCTCTGCCTGCCAGGCGATTTGGCTTTTGCGTTCACTTCATTCACTGTGTGAGCATGAACGGGCGAGGGCGTGCACACGCTCAGTGAGTGTGAGGAGGCCCTCGGGCGGCCTCTGGGGTTGGTTGATTCTCTTTCTCCAGCGTGGACTCCAGCGGTGAAAGCCAGGTAGGCTGTCCGGCCCACGTAAAGTACTTTTCTTCTGACCATCTCATTCAGAATGTCCTAGAATTTGAACTGTACTGTGTGTAGTCTTTTTAGATTGTTCTTTTCAATTTAACAAAATGCATATGAAATTCGTTCGTGTCTCGTGACTTAATAACTCAAGCAATATTCGGTCCCATAGCTAAACCACAGGTGGTTCAGACAGTCTGCTATGGAAGGACTTCCGTAGCTTCCAGGTTTATGATTGCGCGTGTGCGTGTGTGTATTCGTGTGCAGGTTTGTGTGTAGATATAATCACCGAGGAGTGTGCCTGTTTATGGTGTGAGAGGATTGTGTTTAGCTTTATAAGAAACTGCCATAGCCAATGCACCACTTTATCGGTCACTGAGAGTCCTGGCGCTTCGCCAGCTCCTTCATGGCAGAGAAGTCACCTCTTCTGACAGATGGGTAACGCCCACCAGAGAAACTTGGTTTCAGTTTGCTCGCTGCGGTGGTGTTTGGGTGAGACCGGCCCCTTTGCTCTGTGCTTGCTGCTGGGTCCCAGGGGGCGGAACTGTTTGGGAAGATTGGGAGGTGTGGCCTTCTCGAGGCCTGTGTCGCCCGCCAGGCTTTTGTGAAACTTCCTGAATGCTGCTTTGCCATCTGTGTGTGTTCTTTGTAAATTTGTTCTAACTACTTTGCCAACTTCTAGGCTGGATTGTGTGTGACACTGTGAGGGAGTAAGAAATATGTTTGGTTTCTGTCCCTGTTTCCTGAACAGAGCCCTAACGCCCTCACTGGACTCTCTTGGGTGACTTGAGTGTCTGCGGCTCCTGGGCTTCGGGATTTGGCCCTTTCCAGAAAGCCCATGCTTTAAAGTGTGTCTGTCCTGTCCTGGTGAGTGTTTCTCCGATTGACACAAGATGGGGTTTTCTGAGGGAACCACAATGAGGAAATGTGTCCCTGAGCCTGGCCTGAGGGCAAGCCTGTGGGGCATTTTCTTCCCTAACGATGGGTGTGGACAGCCGGTCCTGGGTTGTTTAGGAAAGCTGCTTGAGCCATCCAGGGGAGCAGCACTCCTCCACAGCCCCAGACCCAGTTCCCGCCACCGCGGCTCCCCCAGTGTGTGGAAAGAAGGTTCCAGTCTTAGCAGTAGAAGCCCAACTGAAGCCCCAATTGAAGCCCCAACTAAAGCCCACAGTGTGCCGCCTTAGCGCTCCAGCGATGAGAGTGAACATTGAGCTGACCCCAAGTCACCAGTGAATTAATCAGTCATGTCTGTGCAAGGAAGCTTCCACCAAGTCCAAAAGGCCAGAGTTGGAGGTTTGGAGAGCCCCAGCTTGAACACTCGGCTTTCTGGAGGGAGGTGTGCTTAGAGAGGGCGGGGACGCGCCTGCCCCTCCCCCGCCCCTTCCCTCCCCCTGGCTGCTCCCTGGTATCTTTCGAACATCAGATGATCTGTTTCCCTGGGGCCTGTGAGCGGCCCTAGCAGTGTTGTTTTCGCCTGAAGTGGTAAGGGGCTGAGCCCTCCGTGTGTGTGTGTGTGTGTGTGTGTGTGTGTGTGTGTGTGTGTGTGTGTGATGCGGAGCCTTCTAGCTCCAGCTGGAAAAGGTCAGGGTTGAGTTGATGGATTCCTGGGTATGTCTGCAGGAGGATGAGCTTCCTGGGTGCGTGGGAGCCCCTCCCCACAGAAAGTCGAGTCCAGGGAGGATGTTGGGTATGGCAACAACAGCCAGTTGTTAGACGTGTACCTTAGAAATATTTTCATGCAGTCTGTGCTCTTCTTAGCATTCTCCTTAGAGTGTATCAGGGAGAACATAGTTCTGGTTTTAGTGACGCCCACGTGTCGTCTGTGAGCTTGCGGGCTCCCGTTCCCTGTCCTTTCTTTCGCTAGGTGGACAGTGCTGGTGTTAAGCTCGGGTCTGTGACGGCCTCAGCTGCTGAGAATTTTGTTGAGGAAGCCAGCCTTGCAGCTGCAGGTCTTTCTGGGCCCTCTCCCCCAGTTCGCTGCTGTTGCCTTGCGGACGCTGTGCACTCTATGACCTCCTGCCTGCTGTGCTGTGCTGTGCTGGCCCTTCTGAGCCTTTCGCTTTTCAACACAAACTTCAGAGTTATGTGTTAATGCCACAGATGAACCTGCTGGGGTCTCCTCAGTATGGCACTGGGGCCATCCAATAAGTGGGAGGAATTGACCTCTTAAGAGTCTTAAGTCTTGAGACTGGAGAGACTGCTCGGCAGTTAAGCATGGCTGCTCTTGCAGAGGACCTGGGTTCAATTCCCAGCATCTACTTATGGGCTTACAACCCAATTCCAGGAGGTCTGATGCCCTCCCTGCTCTCCTTGGGCACACACATGATTCACAGATATTCATGCAAATCATTTGTAAAAAAAAAAGTCACTGTAAAGAATGGAGACATGCCGGCCAATGAGGGCACATGCTTTTAATCCCAGCAGTTATGAGGCAGAGGCAGGAGGATCTGTGTGAGTTCAAGGCCTGCCTGGTCTGCAGAGCAACAGGGGTACACACACACACACACAAACACACACACGAACACACACGCACACAAGGTGGAGGAGACATGCATAGAGATGGGTATGTAGTTTTCTGTTTTAGTTATTTGGAATCTGGTTTACACTTGGGTTGGTAATGTGCACCCGTCAGCAGTTAGGCAGTTTTCTGTCGCCCGCCCCCGCTGAGTGGCATGCCCAGTCTCTGAGAATTGATCCAGCCTGGGTGTGGCATTTGTACAGCTCACCCTTGGTGTGTGGCTTCCTTCTCTCGGCCCGTGGCAGTCTGACTCTCGTTGTAGTGTGTGTCAGGTCGCTATCTTTCTTGGCGTCCCACGCTGCCAAGGCGTCTTCATGGTCTGTCTGCTTTTGACCTGCACTACTTGGTTCAAGGAGGTGCAGAAATGTGAGCTCTTGTTCCTCTTCCCTCTAGAG